GTGCGTACGCACGTGCACACACACGCACACACACACAGGCATGTGCGTACGCACATGCACGCACACCCACCTGCTCAATGAGCCGGATGATGCTGATGGTCTCCTCCTGGCGGAAGGTCAGAGAACAAGGCAAGCTGTTGAGCTGCCCGGAGAGCTGCAGCGGCGTGAGGCCGTCAGAGGCCTGGGCCATGCTGGTGCTGGTGGCGTAGCCAAAGGTCTCCCAGGAGCACCGGGACGGGTACAAGGGATCCAGGGCGATGCTGCTCGCAGGGACGGGGACGCTGTACTCTCCGCAAACACCCAGGTGGTGAGTCCAGCCAGCCTCCCCTCCCCAGGCAGCCCCACGCCACCTGCCCGCTCAGGCCGAGCTCTGACCTGATGTCGCTCTGGAGGAACAGGCGGCTGTTGCGCAGGTTGGCAGAGCTGCCGAGGCAGCAGGTCACTTCCCCGAACTCCTGCATGATGTTGATCATCTCACACATCGCTGAGGGCAGAACGGGGGCACAGGGTCAGGCGGCTCTGTGGGACCATGGCACTGACCACAGCGTGAATCCTGTCACTGACTCCCGAGGCTGGGCTTGCCACAGTCCCAACCCGTCCCGTCCCCAGTTGCTCCTTGAGTGGAAGGCCACTGGCCCTGCAGTGCCAAGGGCAAGGCGCGCTGGGAGGGCCAGACCTCAGGACTCACTCTCAGGGGTGCAGTCGGTGAAGAGGGGCACCAGCAGGGGCACATTGTCGATGTTCTGCAGGTGGGGGCGCACCTGATGGATCCCCCGGGGCAACTTGGCCTGGAGAGAACGGAGGCCTGAGATCTCAGAGGGGCTCCTGCCCTCAACCCTCCCCAGTCTGCCCTCGCTAGCGGGGCTGCTGCAGGGAACAGCAGGCACAGCCCGGTTCGTACCCGGTTACAGTCCTCCAGGAAACTGGGGATGTCACTGTCCGTGGGCTGGAAGCTGATAAGGTCCGAGTGCCCCTCCTCCTCCATCAAGAGAAGCCCTTCTGCATCGTCTCGGGACACTGGGGATGACCACCAGGCCTCACCCTGAGGCTGGCTTTTGGGGGCCCTACCTTGCTGGGGGTATAGGATGTCCTGCCCCCAGGTTTCTGCCTCCCCAGTGGGCTGTCATTACCTCAGGGAAATCGAAGCCCCACCACACAGTGCTTCCAAAGCTGTATCTAACTGTAGCTCCTAGGACGGGCAGACCCCCACCCCACCATGCCTGAGGGTTTGTCCCCTTCCCGCCCCACCATGCCTGAGGCTGTGCCCTCTTCCTGCATCGCCATGCCTGAGGGTTTGCCCCCTTCCTACACCGCCATGCCTGAGGGTTTGCCCCCTTCCTACACCGCCATGCCTGAGGGTTTGCCCTCTCCTTGCCCCATCATGCCTGAGGGCATGCCCCTTTCCCCACGCTCATGGGCTCAGTTCCTACCTTGGTTGAGGTCGTCATGCAGGGAGCCTGTGTGACTGGGGCTGGAGGGTGGGATCTCGGAGCCGGGAATGTCCCCATTGGGCGTGAGGGAGATGTGGCAGTTCCAGCCCGTCTCCAAGCCCATCTTTTCTGCAAACACCTGCAAAAATCAGATGGCAATAAACAGAGCCACAAGCCAGTGGAGGTGGTCAGGTGGCCGAGGGGCCAGCCCCCACCTTGCTTTTGAGCTCATCCTCCAGGGAGAAGTAGACGAAGCGGATGCAGGCATTGACGAGCCCATCGATGAGGCGTACGATGTCCAGTCTGGCCTGGTACTGGGACGACACCATGCCCATGAAGATCTGGCCGCTCAGGGCCTGCATGCAGTCCTCCTTCTCCAGGGCCTCCCCGATCCCTTCTTCACGTGGGCACAGGGCAGCATCCCAGCAGGACACGGACATGACATCCAGATGCAGACACAGACACGCACGGGAACACAGGAACCAGGGGAATGCACACATGCAAGGGCAGGCATACACAGGAACACACACCCGGAAACACAGGCATCCAGGGAACGCATGCATGCAAGGGCGCACACACACACAGGAACACACGCATGGGGACACAGGCACCCAGGGAATGCACACATGCCCGGGAATGCACACATGTGAGGGCACACACACACAGGAACACACGCACGGGGACACGGGCACCCAGGGAATGCACACATGCCCGGGAATGCACACATGTAAGGGCACACACACAGAACACACACATGATGACACAGGCACCCGGGGAACACACGCATGGAACGGCACACATGCACGGGGACACAGGCACCCGGGGAACACGCACGCAGAGGTGGCATCAGGTCAGTGTGCCCCGGAGCACACAGGTTATAGTCACACGTTAATCCATCCACACAGCCAAGACACACGAGACAGCAGATGGGGAGAAAAGACAATGAAGGTGCCATCAGCCAGGTGTCAATCGTGCGGTCAGGACAAGGTGGACCCCACTCCTCCCAGCCTTGGCCCCACCCTCAGAACAGCTTCACCCGTGGCCTCCTGGCCTCTGAAGCCCTGCAGGCTGCGTGTTTGACAGGGGCGGGAGAGGTGAGGGCTCTGTGACCACAGCCTGACACTGAAAGGCCGGCGCTCTGTGGCACACGCTGCTTTATGAGGTCGAGGAAAGCGCTTTACAGCCTCGGCACCGCCTGAACATCTACAGACCGGCCCGCGTGCACAGCGCCTGCCAGCACCGCAGACTGCAGCACTAAGGCACGCCCGTCAGTGAGCCGGATACTGCTGCCCCGGGCGGCAGGTACCGTCAGAGCTCCAGCTGTTGCGGCGGGCGTTGTGTTTGATGGGCATGGTGCTGGGCAGCTCGCACAGGGTGAAGATGCTGCTCTGGCCGGGCACCTGCACCAGTTCGATGCACTTGCCATTGAGCTGTGAGGACAGGGCACAGCTCATGGGCTTATAGGCGAAGGCGGAGCAGTAACCAGACAGGCAGGCCCGCTGGTAGAAATCCAGCACCTTCTTCCTGCCAGAGAATCAAGGAGGGAGTGAGATCGGGGGTCTGCCCCTAGGACACTGGGCCTGTGGGAGTGGCCCGCAGATGACCCACCTACCCTCCCTCCCTTCCTCCGGCACCTGTCAGACCCGGAGAGAGGGTAGATGTCGGCTCCATCCCAGAAGTCTGTGCAGGCCTCCAAGACCACGTCGGCTGTGCCGTGGGACAGCATCTGCTCTGTGCCTGAGGGGCACAGGGAAGGTCAAGCTCAAGGATGCCCTGAGCCACCCCACCCTTGACCCTGACCTGGCAAGAAATACCCCACTGTTGTCACGAGGGTGCCAAGGAGCCCCCGGATCCCGCAGAGGCAAGCCTTTCTGGGATGCCTGCATCGACACTTGGGCTTGTGACAGGCTCCACGGTTTCTGCCCCTCAGCAACCCAGACACTAGAGAGCCCTGCCCTCCCAGCTCGTCCCCAAGCCCACTGGGGGCGTCAGGAAGCCACCGGCTCAGAGAACAGACGAGGGACAGAGCTGCCCCTGGACAATCTTCGGGAAGGCCAGGCCCATGCTCTCCCGGGCGGGGCTCACTGGTGGTGGTGTCCTTGATAAAGAGGCTGAACATGTGACTGAGTGGGGGGCGGCGCTTGGTGACACAGGAGAGCCTGCCCAGCGAGGTCTCCTTCACCATCTCGGCACTGGGCAGGCGGTAGAGCGCCAGGTGGTTCTCCTGTTTGAAGAGCTCCTTGGCCCCGGGGGTGAAGCCTACAGGAGGGGACAGGCACTCAGAGCCTTGGGAGGAACGCATCCGCAGTGCCGCCTCCCCGGCTGGCCTATGCACCTCCCACCCCAACAACCAGTTCACACAGGAAGCCCAGTTACACGCAGACGTGACCACTTCAGGGGTGAGGGCCACAAGTTGAGAGGGTTTCGGGGCTCCTGAACAGCACAGGGGCTGCAGTGGGGGGCCCATGAGGAGGGCTGGGCACGCTGGCCCAGGGCCGTACCGATGAGGCGGGCCAGCTCGCAGAGGCCCCAGGGCACGTGCACGGGCAGCACGGCGCTGTGGCTCTCCTGCAGGGCGATGTTGCACAGGTGGTCCGAGAAGCGGCAGAGCCGCTCGGTGACGCTGGCGTTGCACAAGTTCAGCAGCACGTTGAGGCCAAGTGGCTTGAGGGAGGTGAGGTGCAGCTGCCAGTTGGAGTCATCGAACTGGATGCAGGCGGGGTTCTGCTGGTCCTGGGACAGGCTCAGCATCTCCAGGTGGTAGTCACAGACAAAGTCCTCCGCTTCGCAGAGCCCGCCCTCCAGCCCAGGCTGGGTCTGGGGGACACACAAGGGGCAGGGACACTTCAGGCGAGGTCTGGGGGGGCAGGCTCTGGTTCCCTGTCTTCTGTGGTGGGGGAGGGACTGACGCTGAGAAAGCACATCCTTCCCCCCAAATCCTCAGTGTGGACCCAGCGTGCAGACCAGCCCGCCCAGATGCAGAGGCCCAGCAATGACAGGCCACACCCAAAAAGCGTGACAACGCAGATCAACGAGGAAACGACAAGGATCTTTCACAACAAGGGGAAAATATTTTTGGGAGTCACTGATTTTTGTCTTCAAACCAGAAAAACAAAATTTGCCATCAAGTGATTCTGGCTCACGGTCAGTTCTGACTCACAGTGCCCCTGACTGGACACAACTGTCCCCCCACGTCTCCAAGGTTGGACTCTTACAGTAGCAGACTGACACACAGTTTTCCCACAGAGTGGCAGGTGGGCTTGAACTTCTGACCTTTTGGTTCGTGTTGTGTGCCATCGAGTCAGAACCAACTCACAGCTGACCCTCCCGTGGGTTTTCAGAAGAAATAAATCACACGGGAGGAGACTGCCCATCTTTCTCCAACAGAGCAGCTGGCGGATTCAAACCCTGTACCTCTGCACTGGCAGTACAACTCCTTACCACTAAGTCGCCAGAGCTCACTGGTTAGCTGCTGAGAACTTTAACCACCAGGGCCCCTTAGACAAGGACCAGCCCCATCCACTGCCTTCTAGGAGCCTGGAGCTGAGAGAAATGGGCAGGACTCCAGGAGATGTCTGGGGGCTCTGAAGGAAGGCCCACTAAGTCCCTCACTCTCCACTGCTCCAGGCTGGACCAAGCCTCATCCAGGGGCCCTCTCAACGCTCCGCTCTCCCTCACCTTGCTGGGCTCCTCGTCCCCGCCCTCAGTGTCTCGGCTGAAGCTCACGTTGGAGCCGGATGGGTGTTTGCTGCGGCCGTGTGGCCTGTGGTGAGGGTGTGGCTCGGGGGGCTTGGTGCCATCGTTGGGCCAGTCACCCCGCTCCTGCTCGCTGGAGAGGTGCAAGGTGTTGTTCAGGGAGCCCGCCAGGAGGGCGTCTCGTTCGTGAGGCTGAAGGACAAGGAGCACAGGCTTGGGACCACATCTCCCCGGCTCCTGGACCGACAGGTGAGATTCTGGGTCCCTCACTGTCTAGGTAGTTGTTCCCCTTAACGCCTCAGAGACCCACCCCAACGGCGCCTGAGCCCACCCCCACTGACAGCTCACCCTCCCTGAGGCCATGGGCCAGGCTCCGAGGGCAGCCCCAGGAGCTGGCCATACCTCCTCCTCTACCTCGGGGTGGCAGAAAGAGCGCGTGGACAGGTCATCTGTCAGGTCCTCATGACTGCTGTGTGGGGGTTCCACCTTCCCGCTGAAGAACAAGACTGTCTCAGGGCTGGGGTTCGGCCATGAGAGGATGCCCTGTTTGTCCACACAGCACAGGACCTGGAGACAGAGCAGCCAGGGCTGGACAGAGGGCCAGGCATGCTCCCGTCCTGCCAGGGGCCAACCGGATGCAGCTAGCCAGGTGGCCGCCAGCCAGGGCCCTCGCGTACCGTGACAGAGCCCAGGCCGTGCAGCAGGCTGGAACTGTGGCTCAGGGTTGGCGACGTCCCCTGAACCACCCTCAGGAAGTGACCCCAGATGCAGCGCAGCATCTCCTAAGGAGAGAGGATGTCTGTCAGGCTGTGGAGCTCAGCCTGTACTGCCCTGAGGATGATTCTGGGCCTCAAAGAGGGATGCTGGGGGGACACTGGAAGGGGGTGGAGCTGTGCGTGTCCACGCCCAGGCCCAGGTGTGTCCACATGAGATGGTGGACTGGTGAGGTGCTGGAAGACCATGACGTGGGGTCCCAGAAGAGCCCGGGAGTTGGCGTTTGTGGTGGCCGGGCGTGGGGCGGAGCTCTCCACGTCAGCTCACCTTTGAGGAGACGACTTCTGTGTAGCTGCTGAGTGTATCCTCCGAAAACTTAGCCAGCTGTGCAGAGAAGGGGTGCATCTAAGCAGGAGAGAACTGTCACCTCTACACAGGTAAGCTGCAGGGCTGGGGACTCCCATGTCCTCTGATGAAAGGACAACAGGCTGTCCTGAGTCCTGTCTGCTGGGCAGCGTGCCCTGCCTGGCCTGCAGGCTCTTCTGAAATGGAGGGCCTGCAGCTTCAGAGGTCAACCCTGGAGGGCTTGCACTCCCTCCTCCGTTCTCTGGGGCGCAGCAAACTCCCCCTTTGTCACTGGCCTGGAAGAACTTACCAGCGAGCTTGGGGAGGCCTCGCTCATCTGGGCCAGGACGCGGGCTTCTCCGCACGCGGTGGCCAGCACCCACAGGACTGGGAAGAGCAGGGGGAGGATGGGCAGGACACCATTCACCTGTGGAGGAGGCGGCCACACCGAAGGCCTGCTGAGGGCTGGGGGCCAGAGGGGGCTTGGGGCAAAGGGCATCCCTGGCCACGTGGTCATTCCCGGACGACAAGGGGCAGCCGTCCGGGGCAGGAAGGGATGGAAAGGGGGACTTCTTAAGCTGAACCTATGGGATGGCTGTCAGGGCATCGAGAGGGGACAGGCAAGTGGACAGAGCCCAGGAAGGCGAGGCCCGTGGGTACCTGGAGCTGGAGCAGCGTGTACTGCCAGGAGAGGAGCCCGGGGGCCGTGAACATGAAACGTAGCCCGTTGGTGATGAGGAAGCCGGCCTGTGGGCGTGGCAGGGACATGGCCTTAACACAGCCCAGGACTGACCAGGTGCCAAGGTGCCCCTTCCTTCGCCCACTGATATCTCCCTGCTGGTCAGCTCATCCAGCAGTCTGTCTTCACTCTCGTGCCGACCTGAGTATGGCCTGCAGGCTTGGGGAGCCCCATCTCCCCTCTCCCGGCCCACCCTCCACCAGGGCCCGCCTCACGCACCAGGACCACGGGCACGGCGTAGTGCAGCATCACTGACTGGACGGTGAACCGCTCGTTGTCCAGGGCGGTGACCGGGCGGGACAGCGCCATGTCCAGGCACCATCTGCAGCAAGAGGCAACTCTCAGCCCCATGCAGGAAAGAGGCCAGAAGCCCCCTCCTCAGAAGGCTGGTGGACATGTCGCTTCATGGTGCACCCCCAGGTCCAGAGTCCTGCTATGTCCTGGTCCTGGCTGAGCAGCACTGGGAGAGTGGTCAGTGGGGCCGAGCCTGAGCGGACGTCACTCATCCGGTCTGAGAGGGCCCCGAGAGGCTACAAGGGAGCCTCAGCAGAGGCCCAGCTCGTCGGGGGCCGGGTGAGAACACGGTGCTCTCCCTGCCAGCCCTAACACCCTGATACCGCGGGAGGGGGGGTGGCAAGAGAAGTCGGGGGCACCGAGGACACATGGCAGCACCCCTACCTGATGTTGTCAATCACAGGGGTCTCAAGGACGCGGAAGAGCCGGTGCGGCTGGGGGTTCTGGGGCCCTTTCTTCACTTCTCCCCGGGGTGAGGGGGGTGGGGAGAAGGGGGGGAACAGGTCTCCTGGCTCCAAGACGATGTGTTCGTCATCCTGCCGGCAAGGGGGGCGGTGGGCGGGTGACTAAGGGACCCTGGAGGCTGCTCTTCCTGGGTCTCTCGACTGCCTGCCACAGGGGCCACTAACGGGTCATCTGGGGTGAGGTCTGTGGGGCTGGAGTCCTGGGGTCTTGAGGCATGAGAAGAGAAAGGACGGGAGGAAGGAGACATGTCCTAGCTCCACTCCCCTCTAGAGTCCTTGCCGAGACTGTGACTGGCCAGGAAGCTCCAGATTGGCCCAGGGGACCTCTCTCTCCACCCTGCAGGCACCCCCACATCCCAAGGAAGGACAGGAGCCTGGAGCTACCTTGATGCCCCTCAGAGATGCGAAGGATTCCTGGCCCGGCCTCAGAGCAATGACATCACCTTCTACCAACAGGCTGACGGGCAGGTTCACCAGGTGTCCGTCCCTGTAGGCCCAGTGCAGGGACCAGGATGGCGCAAAGGGCATGTGGAGGTCTGGGTACATGGCACTTGGCCATCTGGCCTCCTTGCCATCCCTGAGGACATCTGAGGAGAATGGAGAGAGGGGAGAAATCTCACCCATCACTTGGTTCACAGGTACGAGCTCGGCTGAGCTTCCCACGCCGCTCACACCACTGTCCCTCCACCCCAGCCAGCCACCTGGCCCGAGGCCCTGGTTCAATGAGAGGTGCACGCTCTCTGTACCCCTCATTGCCTTTCTGTTTCCTTCACCAGCACTGCTGAGCCCTGTGAGGAGTACAAAGATGAAGAGGACGTGGTCCCACCCTGGAGGAGCACAACCGGTAGGAGGAGAAGACACAGGTAACTCCAGCCAGGTGGCATGTGCTCAGAGGGCCAGGAAGGGTGCCAGGGCTGAGAGAGAACACAGGGAGGGAAGGGACCTGTGGGTGGGCATGGGGTCACCAGAGCAGGCTTGGGAACCTGCAGGAAGTGGTGCAGCCGTGTCCATCACAAATGAGCGAGCAACTGTATGCCGGGCAGAGAAGGGGGAGACACAGATGGGGAGGCACCCAGGGTGCTGGCACCAGGGGGCTGTTAGATGCTGTCTAGTCAGCTCAGCTCTCAGGGACCCCACGTACAACAGAAACCCCTGCCCAATGCTGCGCCCGCCTTACAGTCTGCGCTGATGCCCGTGCTGGAGCCAGGGCGTCAACGGGAGGAAGACAGCAGGGACAGGGCTGGAGGGCGCGCTGGAGCCCAGGGCAGAGGCCCCGGAAGCCCCGGGCAGCATCTAGGAGGACTTTGATCAGCAAGAAGGAGCCACTGAGGGTTCCTGAGCCAAGGAGCAAATTCCTGGGGTGCAGGGCTCATCTTCCTGGGTCCCTGCTGTCCCCCCAGTACCTGGCTTGGGGCTGACACCTGACCAAGTTCTCTCTTAGCTCTTGACCCTCTGCTGCCCAGACTGTTGGAGAAACATCCATCTGAGCAAGTGCTGCCCCCTCCACTCTCTCGGGCACCTCAGACTTCTCTGGTCAGTCTTCCCGCCTGTCCGAGCACCTGGCACGTTCAAGTGCACTAGGCAGCCTGGGAGGAGGGCATCTGCACTGTGGTCCTGCCAGCACTGTGTCCCTCTGCTGGCCTCCAGTGCCACCACGCCCAGAGCACCCATCAGCCTCCCTGCTCAAGCACAGCAGGGCTCCGGCCTCGGGCCATGTCGCCTCCTGGGCCATCTTTCCACCCAGCCTGCTGGACCTCGGGCTCACCCTGGATTTGGTCAACGATCCCTCGGAGCCTGTGCTCCACCTCGTGCCGCTTCAGCCGATCCTGCCGCCCGATGAGGAGGAGGCTGAGGAGCAGGAGGAAGAGGAGGGCCGCCGCGTTGACCAGCTCCACGCCGTGGCTGCGGGCGAGGCAGAGGCTGTGGCTGCGGCCCTGGATTCCCCCGCCCACCCCGGCCCTCGGATAACATCTCAGGGGTCCCCGGGGAGCAGCGTGCAGCTCCAAGTGACTGAGAACACCCCAGGAACAGGCCGCTCAGCACACTCCGCCACACGAGACCAACAGGGCAGAAACTGCCAAAGGAAAACTCAGAAGGCAGGAGAGATGGGTGGGCGGGAACGGGGGCCCCGGGAGGAGGTGGGGAGAGTGCTGTTACAGCGAGGGGGCTGCCGTCAACATCTCTAATCAAAATGTAGATGAACAGTCAAATGGAAAATTAATTAGCTGTGCAACTGTTGGAAACATGACAATAACAAAAAAAAATTTTAAACAAGGAGAAAGTGTTCCAAGTCCAGTCACAGCCTGAAGCTGCAGCTTTCGTCCCCGGGACAGCAGGGACCCTGTGCCGAGGCAGACAGGCCCCAGTGGGCAGCAGCGGCCTCCCCGGGGCTGCAGGGACCCTGTGTTGGCCAGACAGGCCCCAGTGGGCAGCAGCAGCCTCCCTGGGGCTGCAGGGACCTTGTGCCGAGGCGGACAGGCCCCAGTGGGCAGCAGCGGCCTCCCCGGGGCTGCAGGGACCCTGTTTACCTCCCGGCCGGCTGGCTTCCGTAGCAGCCAAGCAGCAGCAGCACCGCCAGCAGCATGAGCGAGGCCCCAGGCCAGTGGAAACAGGAGCAGCGGTTCCCATGGTGCAGGAAGCTGCTTCTCCACATCTCCTGCGGACGACAGAGAGGCTGCAGCCAGAGGCCTGGGTCGGGGCAGAGTCGCGTCTCTCCAGGGCGCATCCACCCTGCCAGGTCCTTGACCCGCTTGGTCCTCTCGCTCTCATCTCGGAGGTGGGGGTCCACTCCTGTCTGAAGTCTCACGCTACCGGGCTGGGCTGCGTGGCCCCGGGTGACAGGGTCTCAGCCTCGGGACTGCTAGGCGTGGTGCTCCGGGAAGCAGCTCACCTTCCACGTGAGACGCTTCTTCCGCTCCTTCAAATGTCCTTCCAGCACCGCCTCCAGCTGCTCCTGCAGGATGCTGAGGGCCTTCCTGGTGGACAGGCCCAGGGCCAAGGGAGGCTCGCCCTGGGGGGACAGCAACCAGGCACCTCAGCGATCCCCGGAGGCCCAGGAATCCCGGTCAGGGGCACACTTGGCCCACCTGCTTGTCCCTCCTCCAGAAGTCACCCCCAACTCCTCCAGTAGCTGTGACCCCTCAGCATGTAACCATATTCCAGTCCCAACCAAATTAAACAACATTTAAGCACACGGTTCTCTGCGTTTGAGTCCACTGGAGTACACAGTCATCATCTAAGTCCTCAGTCCTTCAAAGTCAAGTTTATCTCACTGTTATCTAACTCCCCCTACCAAACTTTTCCTGCCACTGACCTCTCAGTTTAGCTTAAAGGGTTCAAGCTTTTAGATTTCACAGACCAGAAAACACATCCATATTAAATAAAGAGGTATAAGCTTTTTTCCCCCCGGGAAAAGCATTTTTAAAAAAGAGAAATTTTACCACCTTCTTCAACTTCCTACTTCTAAAGTCAGACAGTGAGCTCCCAGCAGGGAAAATTTGTGCAAGAGGAACTGAGGCCCAAGACCTGGGCCACCAAGAAGGCTCTGGATGTCCCTTCTTAGGGGTTCTGACAAAGGACGGCAGAGCCAGAGACCTGGCACATTCTGGGCATCCCCAAAGAATGGCTGAACCTGAACTTGGCACATCATAGAACATGCCCTCTCAAGATGGCTCTCGTCTGGAAAGATACAGGAGTCATGCGCATGGCATCTGAATGTAAGCTCTTAGCAGGGTTACAGGTAGTGGGGGGCCTGGCTACTCAGCTCCAGTGTCCTCCTGGGTCTTGTGGCTCCTGAATTAGCTGAATACTGGCCTCTCTGGTTGTAACCATCTCAGGGGAAAAATATTTTAATTCACTATGGTCAAGGACTGCAGCCTTCAGTATGGATTGAAGCTCAACATCAAGAAAACAAAGATTCTCACCACTGGGCAGACTGGCAACCTTATAATAGGTGGTGAAGAGATCAAGATTATTAACAGCTTTAGTTTCCTTGGCTCCACAATTAACACTCTTTTTTTTTTAAATTGTATTATTTTTACGTGTACCATCAAATCAGATCTGACTGGTACAGGAGGAGATTGCCTCCTCCTTCTCCAGCAGAGCATCTGGTAGATTTGAACCGCATACCTCTGGGATTGCAGTGCAGCGTCTTGCCACTAGGCCACCACACAATCAACACTCTTAATACCAGCAGCCAAGAAATCAAGAGATGAGTTGCACTAGGAAAGTCAGCTATCAGAGACCTCTCTAGAGTACTGAAGAGCAGTGACACCAGCCTGGAGACTAAGGTGCACCTGATCCAGGCTATGGTCTTTGCAATTACGTGCTATGCATCAGAAAGCTGGACTAAGGATGAGAGAAGGAGAATTGATGCCTTTGAGCTGTGGTGCTGGAGAAGAGTACTGAATATACCATGGAGTGCCAGGAGAACAAATAGGTTCATCCTGAAGGGAGTGAGACCAGGCTGTGAAGGCACGTGTTCTGAAGATCCATTTGACATACTCTGGGCATGTTGAAAAGAGGGACTAGTCCTTGGAGACGCTCAACATGCTTGGAAGAGTGGAGGGAAGGCGCAAGAGAGGAAGACCCAGGATGAGACGGACTGACTCAGTGACTGGGGTAATGCGGATTGGTGTGTCAGAGACAATAAGGTTGGCTCAGGATAGAGCAGGGTTCAGAGCTGTTTTACATAGGGTTGCTATGAGTCACAAGCAACTCAACAGCACAAAACAATGTCCAATAGGGAGTCTGGTGACCCAGTGGTAAGAAACTACACTGCAATCTCAAAAGCATATGGTCAAGTCCAGCAGCTGCTCCTTGGGAGAAGGATGGGCACTCTCCTCTCCTATGATTGATTGCCCTTGAAGACCTACTAGAGGGTCGGCTATGGGTCACCTCCGCCTTGACGGCACACAACAATATCTAGTCGGGTATTGGAGGAAACTTCTTGAAGTAGCTGCTCGGGCAATCTAAAAGATTAAAGAAGGGAGCTCTGGTGGCCAAGTGGCAGGAAGCTGCACTACAATCCCAGAGGTGAGCGGTTCGAATCTACCAGATGCTCTGCTGGAGAAGGAGGGACAATCTCCTGATATACCAGTCAGATCCAATTGGACAGTATACAACCAAAAAAAAAAATTAAAAAGAAAATAAAAATAATTTTTTAAAAATATTAAAGAGAAAAACAAAAAACCAAACCTCCAGCAATTTTAAGACGGCACCTGAACTCTTCCAGCCTAAAATGCAGGGACGCAGTAGTGGGTTCCTCTGAACCACAGCCACTGTGTTTTAAATTTAAAGCTGAACCTGGCCCATCTCAGTCTCGCTCCCTGTCCTCCCCTTTCCACACCTGCCGCCCACAGACCCACCCGCCCACCTCCAGCCTCAGCCATGCATCCTCTCTCTTAGCAGCCTGAGCTGCCCCCTACAGGGCACACCACGCCACAGCACAGGGCTCCTGGGGGACAGGGGCACCTGAGCCTCTCTGCTGTGCCTGCTGCCACTGTGTGGGCCTGAGGGGGGAGATGGCTGCCAGAAGACCCTCTCAGCTCCCTCCCCTAAATCTCACCTAATCCCCACTCACCACAGTGGCTTTGGGGGATTATGAAGATAGAGCTCTTCTCAATATTGAGGATAGACTGGTTATTTCAGCTCTTGGAGAACCAGCCCTCTGGGCAGGGGGCTGCATGCCGAAGGACCCACCTCTGTTGGCAGGGCTCCTGCACCTGTCCACTGGGGAGGTCCTGATCCAGCACAATGGGACACTAAGGCAGGCAGACTAAGGAAGCACCTGGAATTCTCAGACTTCCTGGTGTGGAACGGAGCGTCAGGGGGAATTAAAAGGAAAAGGAGACCACAGACCCCCTCAGGTTCAAGGGTGGGACATAAGGCTGATGTAGCATCCTCCTGCCACCCCCACAGCGTAAGAAGAGTTAAACGCAGCACATGTACTGGTTTAGGGCCCGGACATAAGCTGGGGACTCCAGTCAGAGGAGTATCTAAGGCAGGAACAGCACGTGCCCTGGAACCATGTGGGACACTGGGGACGGGGCATCAATGAGCAGTTTCCATACATACACCAAGTCGCCAGCTGGTTGCCAGCCAAGTCGCCAGCAATTTAAAACTAATTGCTCTTCATCTACCTGTGGACAGTTGATCTTTGACAAAGAGATAAAATCAAGAGAGGGATGTGCAGCCTCTTTAACATATGCTGAGTAAGTGCTGGCAAACCTGGGTACCTACGTGCAGAAAACTGAAACAAGACCCACACCTCACACCATATACAAAAACACAGCATAAAATCGAAAATTATAAAGGTCATCAAGGAAAAGATGAGGGCAGATGCAGGAACCCTAATACTGGCATAATCAGACTATCAAATATAACCTAACATGTACAATCAGCATAAGATAAATCACATGATGGGGACCTTCTGAAAATGAAATTCTTACACGCATCAAACCAAACCTTTTCTGATCTGATACAGCAATGCGGCAGGATATGAGAACAACATACAAAAGTCAGTCAGATGCAGTAACAAAGAGAATTCTGAGAATAAGTAAAACAACGTCATTTATCTCATAAAATGAGCTATTTAGGAATAAATCTAATAGAAACACGAAAGACCTAGACAAAAAAAAAAAAACCCAAACAACACAAAAACAAAACACTGTAAGGCAAGACTACAAGAAAGCCAAGGGATTGGGGGGGAAGCCATGGAGGTGGTTCAAGTAGGTTTCCGAACCTGAAGGTGCTACTATGGCTTCTAGAGGGGTTGGCGTTGAGAGCTTCGGGATTGACAAATGAAACTCCCAAAATCTCAGACAACAGAGGAGATTGGCTTCGAGGCGTCTACTGCTTCGCCACCGATAGGAATAATTTTCAGACGAATTTGATCCTCAGTTTGGGACTTTTTGCTGCAGGAGTTTGGCTGGCCATAAATCTGAGTGACACTGACCTAATGGCACTCTAACTGGGGGTGTAGCCAAGAAGACATGGACCCCCTGTTGCTGTACAGGAACCTTCCAAAAACAGCTTCTATTTCTGTGAAAGACACAAGGCTTAACCTGATGGCGACTCAAGTTTGATTCAGACGGGCACTTCCCTTTCCAGTTTTCTTCTCTTCATTTTCTCTTCATATTCTCTGCTTCCCATTGTTCTGTAAAGTTGTGTATATAGTTTCTCAGTTTCTGCATGGGGTGATCTTTGCTGTTGTCCTGAAGAATAACTTAATATTTCATAAGTATTCAAAATAAAGAATGTACACAAGACAAAAAAAAAGCCACGAAGACCTCCTTAGGTGAGAACACACCATCCTCACAGACCAGAACTCAACCATGTGAACATGGGCAACACTACAAGGAGACCTCCTAAAATTCATTTCTTCTGTGCATCTTCTCCAAAAGAGTAAAAAGAGAACCTGCAGACTGGGAACAAATATTTGGCAAAGACATATCTGACAAGGGACTCATCTCTAAAACTTAAAGAAAACTCTAACAACTCAGGAAAGACAAACAATCCAATTACAAATGGGCAGAGGACGTGAAAAGACACTTCAAGAAGGAAGGCATTCAGATGGCCAACAAACACATCAAGAAATACTCCAGATCACTAGCTCTCAGAGACGCAGAGTCAAACGACAGTGAGAGATCATGCCAGCTGGGCAACAATGGCAAAGTTCAAGGAGGTCGCAACCAACAAGTGCTGACAAAGGTGTGGAGAGACTGAAACTCTCAAACACCGCTGGTGGGAATGTAAAATGGTACAACCACCATGGAAAGCAGTTTGGCGCTTCCTCTTTAGAACGTTGCGAACAGAAGGACCTTTTGATCCAGCTACTGGGTATACATCCTAAAGAAGTAAGAGCTGCAACATGGACAGATACGTGCACTCGTGTCTACTGCAGTATTTACAACAGCAAAGAGATAGATAACCCACGTACGTGTCCATCAATAGACAAATTGGAAGAATCTGTTCTGGAAAACAATGGATTAGAATTTTGTAAATAAACTAGCATTAAAAAAAAATAGCAATCCCAGAGACGTGTGGTTCGAATCCACCAGATGCTCTGCTGAAGAAGGAGGGACAATCTCCTCCTATACCAGTCAGATCTAATTTGACGGTACACATGTAAAAAAACAAAAAAATTAAAAAAAAAAAAACCAAATAGGTGGGCTCTGGTAACCTAGTGGCAAGAAGCTGCACTGCAATCCCAGAAGTGCGCCGTTCGAATCCACCAGATGCTCTGCTGGAGAAGGACAGACAATCTCCTCCTGTACCAATCAGATCTGATTTGATGGTACACATACAAAAAATAATAAAATAAAATAAAAAATAGACAAATAATTAAAGAAAATCTAAGAACATTCATTCACACGATGGAGTACAATACTTGAGAATGATCAAGAATTTGTGAAACACTGCATGACATGAATCAAGCTCGAGCAAGTTATGCTGAGTGACATAAATTAGTCTCAAAAGGAAAATCATGGTGTAAGACCACCATCGTCAAAGCTACGGAAAGGGCTGGAGCTCTGCGGTGCCGTTCTTTAGCGAGTTCCGCTGCTAACTCAGAGGCCACACTTCCCTGTCGACTGGATCCACCAGCTGCTCCAGAAAAGAAAGACGGACAATCTCCTGCCACGTGACTGACAACCTTGGGAATCTATCAGAAGACCAGCTGCTAGTCAGTCCTGACTCCATAGCAGTGGGCGTGAAGGAAGGGTTTACATCCTGAGAGAATCACTCTTGAAGGTTATCAGGGATGGGAAGGGAGGGAGAAGGAAGTAAAAATTAATAGTTTAAGTGGGGTAAAGGGAAAGGCAATATACAAAAAGGAGTTGAATAGATTAATTATGTTAGACAACTGTCATTATGTTATTTTTAAAAACTGTATCAATGAGCAAATGAAAAATCAATATGATTTGCAAACTTTCACTCCAATGGAGAAAGAATTCACTGCCACAGGCACTATTTTCTGTAGTGATGCCTCTACTTTGAGTGCAGTCTCTCCAGCCCAGGCGGAGCCCCAGGAGCTCAGAGCTCACGCTCCATCTCCACAGAGACCCATGGCTACAGGGGAGTCCCCAGCATGCACTTGTTTAAAGCAGGTGGGAAGGCAGGGGAGGCTACAAGGCAGAGATTGGGATAGGAGGAGGGCGGAGAGGAGGCTGGCTGGCTTCCCCTCCCAGGGCTATGGTACATGTGGGATGCAGCCTGGGAGGAGGACACTGCTCAGTCTGGAACAAGCACCATTCTCGGGAAACCACAGCATCCTGCAAGGCAGCATCAGACGGTGAGGAGGGCACTTAAAGCCAGGCAGGCCCCCAGGGCCACTGCTCCAGCCAGGACATACCCCTTGTTCTTGTTAGGTTACCATCAAATCAGTTACCACTCATCACATGCCTCTAACAACAGATGGAAGCCTTGCTCTGTCCTGTACCGTCCTCCGCACCTCTGCCACACCCGAGCCCGTTTAATTACGGTCGCCGTGACAATCCATTTAGTTGAGGATCTTCCTCTTTCGCTGACCCTCTGCTTTTCTAAGCATGATGTCTTTTTTTCAAGGGCTGGTGTCACCTCACAACACGCCCAAGGCATGTGGGACCAAGTTTCACCCTCCTTGTCTCCAAAGAGCATCCTGATTACATTTCCTTTAAGACAGATTTGTTTGTCATTTTGCCAGTCAGTCCATGGGAGGGATGCTCAATCCCCTTCAGCAACACCACAATTCACAATTCAGAGGGCATCATTCTCTTTTGCTTTTCCTTATTTAGAGTGCAACTTTCAGATGTGTACAAAGCAACTGAAAAGACCAACGCTTGGGTCAGGTGCCCCTTAGTCTAGAAACTGGTTCCGTGGGTGCTCATGAAATCTTACCTGCTCGCACTGTCCAGAAAAGTCTACAATCCCTCATCCATCCTGACATCAGTCCCCTTATTTCAGACAGTCCCTGACCCAGGGGACATCCACGCCGTGGATTTTTTTCCCCCCTCTGCATGTGCCAGGCTACCTGGACATGCAGTGTTCCCCTGCAAGTGTTAAGAGGCAGGGCTGAGGGTGGCAGATGCTGGGGCAAGGCCAGCTGGGGCAGGAGGAGCCTGCCATGTTGACCTTGAGCTTCTGGCCCCACAGGCTGTGTCCAACCAGGAGCATCAGACTCCAGACGAGCGATAACAGACAACAGAACTGGGAACACAAACCATTCTGTAATTACACGCCTTTCCAAGAAGACACCTGCATGCACGGGCGGGACTGGGGCCGTGCCTCGACCCTCTGCACAGAATACCTCTCCAAGGCCCTCCACCATCACCAGCGCCCAGTGGGGATGCTCACCCCTCCCTGGCAGGAAGGTCAAGTGAGGGTAAAATCAGGGCTCTCTCTCACTGTGCCTAGCTGCTCCCTGAGGGCAAACAGCCAAAGCGGTGGAACTTGCTGGAAGCCCTTTTTACTCTCTCCTGGAAATTCCAAAGAGGCTGAGAGAAAGCTGACCTGCTGGAGGGGTGAGGGGCAGGCCTCATCAGCATCTCTCAGAGCTCAGGGCTAAGCTGGAGCCCCCAGTAAGGATGCGGGTGCAGTTTGTTTGGAAACAAGAACCCAAGTTGTATGCATTCAGTCTGTGGTCGTAGCACGCTAGAGATGCCAAGGTCAAGGGGAAACCTGCCGTGGGCATCGGTATTTAAAGGTAACATGAGATTCCTCCTGCTTCCTGGTGCTCAGGGCCTCCCAACTCCACCAGTCACCGCACTGCTGTCCCTGAGCTGATGCTGAGGAAGGTCTCGTCCACATGGACCAGCTCTGATGGACACAGATCACAGGGCAGTCCAGGCTCAGGAGAGGCTGGTGCAGGGGACACTGCTGCCTGTGTTGATGCAAGGGGTTCGGTGGGGTGGGGGTGGGGGTCAGGAGTCACGGCAGGGCAGAGAGGGTTGAACCTCAAGGCTCAGTTCCACACAGGACACGTCTTGCCCACAGCTGGGCACTCTGCACCCTCTCGAGAGCCTCTCAGAGCCAGCACACCTGAGGCCTTGATGCTCTGCTCAGCCAGGTATGCAGGTGAGCCCAAGACTGCAGCCCTGGCCCTTTCCGCAGGCAGGCCAGCCACCGTCCACCCAGGGGCCTTCTTCCTCACTCTCATGGGCTTATTCCATTGCCTCCCTCCCCAGACTCCGCAGCCAGAAGCCTTGGGGAGTGCTTGCCTTAGTTACCCACGTGGCCCTGGGGAGGCCCGGCATCCGTGCCCAGCACCGGTTCCTGAAGACACCTGTCGCCTGTCATCTCACGCACAGGTCCTAGCATACCTGGACAGGAGGTCCCCTGGGGATGTCAGGCAGAGGAGCGTGCAGCGGCGCAGCCTCAGGCCCTGTGCACAGAGGGGCAGCCAGCGGCGGCCCAGGCACACCGGCTTTCCTGCACCGCCAGACCCCTCCCAGGGTGCACGTTCCCTCAGCATGACCTGGGCCGCCTTCAGCTCCACGCCCGTCTTCAGGACTCAAGGCAGTCACGAAGCACACACTCAGCACAAAGCACTGTCAGCAACCATCGTACCTTCGAGCTGGCAGCTGGCATACTCACTTTGCCCTTGCCCTGGTGGGGCATCCACAGTTCTGCCTGCTTAAAGAGCATGGTGGAGCCGGAGCCAGCTACTGCAACTTGCAACACCGCCCTCCAGAAGGAGAAAAGGGAATGGAGAGGAGAGAAAAGAGGGTGAGATCTGCAGAGAGCGGGGAGCAGCCGAGCAGAGCTTCAATCTGCTGATGAATTCAGCCTATTTCCAGTCACGCTGCAGACTCAGGAGGGAGGAGGCAGCAGCAGCAGAGCTGCAGGCAGCCGGGGAGGGCAGGAGCGAGGGAGGGAGAGAGGGAGGGGAGGGAAAAAAGGAGGGCGGGAGAAAGTTTGTACAAGGCTGGGCCAGATGTCTGTGAGCTGGGCACTCATCAGAGGAGGCCCCTTCACGGGGGCTGCCAGTGCACAGAGGGTCAAGGGCATCAGAGGGAGGGTGAGGAATGACTGCTGGACAGTCAGGTGAAGGCAGGCGTACAGGAAGTGGCTGCTGTTGGCCTGGGCACTGGGGGCACCTGCTGGGATCAAGGAGGACCCTAGGCTGCTGAGTGGTGCCTCTCTCCCTGGGTAAGGTTAGGGTTCCTGCAGCAGGTAAGTCCATCTACCTGTAAGTGCTCCCTGAACCAGAGACTCCCCAGCATGGAGCCAGGCCAGCGGGGGGTCCTTGCACAGTTAAGCTGCAGGAAGGAGGCCACAGGGCCTGGAGTTATTAATAGCAGCACATCCTTCAAGGAGGGCAGGGGCCGGAGGGGCCAGCTGCAGCTGGGAAGACGGACAATGGGAAGGACTCCAGGAGATGTCTGGGGGGCAGGAGGGCCAGGAAGCTGGTGGGAAGAGGGGGCCGGTTGAAAGGAAGGCTTTCTGAGGATGCCAACACACACACACACACACACACAGACACACACACACACACACACACACACAGACGCACTTGCGCACCCCGCCCCACTCTCTCCAGGTGGAGCTAGGGTGCTGGCAGCTACAGTCAGTGCACGCACACTGGGCCCAGGAGAAGGCCTCGGAGTACGCTGGGCCCTCATCTCCAGTCTCCTGGGGCTCAGGCCCCACAGCTCCCTGAACATCAGATACAAGAGCCCGGGGTGGTGGCGGTGGCGGCGGCTGCAGCAGCGTGGTGGTGGAACAGCAGCGTGCGGCATCAGACAGCCACTCCGAGGGGGCCCGAAGCTTCTCTGCCTGGCCCTTTGGACAGGGCCGCAAATACCACAGGCGAGGAAGCTAGGAAGTGCAGGAACTCCAGCACTGGGGCCTGCGCGCTTCTCAGCAGCCCTTGGTCTCCTAGGCAACGACACTGTCTGGAGCACAGCAGGCTGTCCCTCCCCCTCGCTAGCACTGCTCCCTGTGGGATGACACACCAAAGGGGCTGAATGGAACAGCAAGATGGGGGGGGCAGGTCCAGAGGTGAACAGCAAGAGGTCTCCAGGAGATGAGGGGAGGGAAGGGTGGGGGCCAGCATCCGGGACAGCAGTGATGCCTGTGGGAACGCAGGAGGAAGCCTTCTGCCCCGGACCTGTCCCCTCAGCTTTCCACGTGTCATTAGGTGCCTTTTGAGTCAAGCGCCACTCAAAGCGACCCTGTGGACAACAGAGCTGGACTGTCCTGTCCTGTGCCGTCCTCATCATCTCTGACGCACTTGAGCCCATCGCTGCAGTCACTGTGCCAATCCAACTGGTGGAGCATCCACTACGGCCCCTCGTATGGGCCATCAGAAACCTGCATTCTCCCTTCTTCCACCCTCGAAGGAACAGCTGGGGGACTAAGCTGGCTATTCTACAAGGTCCCCTACCGGGCCTCTCACAGCCTGGTTCCCTCCAAAGCTGCCGTTGATAAGCGGGCCTCACAGAGCCAGTGTGGACGCTGCTATGTACCACCAAACGCCTCATGGCACCGGTTGCTTGGTTTAGAGGTTTAGGTCATGGTTTCGGGAGACAGCCCAGTTAATTGGCTTAATAACACATTCAGTGCTTCTGTTTTACCTCACAGTTCATAAAACATAAAAGCTTGCGAGTGGCCATCTACAGAACAACTGGTCTCCACTTGCCTGGAGCAATGGCGGAAGGAGGAGAGTCAGGAACAGCAGGAGGAATTGGAACAGACGGCTAATTCCTCCATAAAAAAACCCTAATAATTCCTCCTTTGTCGTGAGACTGAAAGAACTGAGTTGCATCCAGCTACCATGACGGAACATTTTGAACAAAGGTGCTTTAGAAAAATCCTGATCTAAAAAGAGAACCTGACGAACAGAATTTCATATTCTCATGGAATCCAGACTTTCTGGAGCCATGGGAGCTGGATGAATCTTAGGAACTACTGCTCTGAGATAGTCATGTACACACAGAAATTGTTAGACTGATGTATGTTATGTGTATATCTTCAAAAATAACAAAATAGGAAAGATGTAGGAGTCTATTCCTGTAAAACGACAGCTTTGGAAACTCTAATGAGCAGTTCTACTTGGTGTAAAAGGGTTGCCATGAATCAGAATCGGCAGTGGGTCACATTTAGTTCTGGGCCTTTATTTTCTGGAATTACCGTTAATATACAAATAACTGAACCTTGGAATTTCTTGCCATTGCTTTAATAGTACCTGCAGAAGTGTCTAATGGTAGTATGTGGAGTGGGGAATCCAGAGGTCAGAATTCTGATCCCAAGCTCACTCACTTCAATACATATTTTTTTTTAGGCTTGTGACAAATGGCATCAAATAATCCTGATATACTATATACAGATGTTGTTAAGTGCCGTTGAATCATAGGCAACTCACAGCGACCCCATGAATGAAAGGCCTCAACACTTGTGTGACTTTCATCCTTTCTCCAGGTTCATAAGGTTTCCAGAGGCAAGCTATTATGGAAGTGGATACCACTCCTGCTTCCAAGCTTGTTTTAACTGGGGAGCTCCACCAAACACTGTCTGCCATGGGTAACCATTATCACATTTGACACATCAATGTCACAGTGTTCAGCTTCATAGAAACCACAAGTTACCTCTGTACGGCAAGTGGACACAGCAGGGCTATAAGATCTAGAAGAATGTTTGACCAAAAACAATGACAGATAGGAGGATTAAAAGCGCAAATATGTAAACGTCGTCTTCTATCTTGAAATAAAGATCATTTTGTGTCAACTAAAAAAAAAACACAAAAACCCAAACCAAAATAAAAATCATTGCTAAAATTATTTTTAAGAACAAAAGGAGGTGCTGCACGTAGGGAACCAGACCCATGTGCAGCGTCCCTACCAAGCAGCCTGTGGGGAGGAGGCAAGGGTTGACCTGGGAAGGGAGGGCAGCACAGACCATCGGCCAGCAGCAGCCAGCAAACAGCAGGGAACCCCACACCCACAGATCCCAGCCACACCAGCTCGTCCCAGTTCTGTCCTCCAAGGGGCCTTCCAACTGTCCATGCCACAGGATCTTTACAGAAACACATTTTCACAACTCACATGGTGCTGCAGGTAACAACCGCGTCAGGTTCTCTTCCTGAACAGCTTGTCAACTCCCAATGAGACTGGCCACCTTTCTAGACTGAGGCCCGCCTTCCCAATGCCCGGACCTCTACCAACCCACAGCCGTAAACATTTGGCAAGCATCCCACCAAGATGGGGCGACAGGGAGGGTGACAGTGTTTTCTAGCTCTGGACTCATCTGTCCAAACAAGAGGAGAAAGGGAGCAAACAAAATTCTTCCAGGAAAAACGGTCCCTAAAAGCTCCCCAGTCTGGACTTTCCCATGCTTACTCCCAAGAGAGACACTGACCCTTTGGGTCACAGAAATGTGTTTACTGTATGCGTGAGGAGCTGGAGTTTCGGCAGCAGGCTGCAACCCAAGGCCCATCCTGTCCCATGTTTTTGAGCCCTCAGCCTCCGCCCTGCCATCACTGTATAACATCACAGCCTCTGGGACACAATCCCTGGAGCTGAGCAGTGCACAGCCCTGTGACTGTGCAGCTGCGTTGCAAGCAGACTGGGAGAGGCAGTTAGTCAGGATGGAGCCCAGAGGTTAGAGGCATCTCTGAACACCTCTACTTCAAGTTCTAGCCTATAATGCTATCCCCGGCCCCTGAAAAGGCACAGAAGTCAGGCATCCCTAAGGCCATATAAGGACCTACAATCACTTCCTGTCTCAGGCCTCCTCAAAATCTCTTTGGCAGGAAGACGGCTATCGATAAATGTTTACTAAGCTCTTGCTGTGTGCCTGATTCTGTGCTAGGAACCAGGGGTCCTGAGATAAAGGGAGACAGACAGATTGATTATTCCAATCTCCTGTGGCAAGAAGGAAGGAAGGAGGAGGGAGGGAGGGGGGAAGGAGAATCCATCTGGAGAAGACAATGTCGAGACCAGGAAGCATGAGCAGAATGGAGACGGGAAATCGCTGAAATACGATGTGTGGGTCCAAGCGATGAAACGTGAAGAATCACTAGCGGCAAATGGCAGGGCAGTGGGGAGCCAGCAATGCCGGTACAATGGGCAGGGGCAACCGAGGGAGAGCTTTGTGCATCATGAGAGCTCTGGTGCATGATGGCCGCTAACTGACAGGTCAGCGGTTCAAACCTCAAGCCACTCCAGAGGAGAAAGACGTGGTCACCTGCTTCGGGGAAGACTTAACCCCCTTAGAAACCGTATGGTGCAGTTCTATTTGGTCCTATGCAGTTGTTAGGAGTCCGAGTCCACTCACTGGTAATTGGTTTGGGGGGTATGTGTATGTGTGTATATGCACAACACACAAAGGGTTGTCCTGTGGGTGGTGGGGAACCAAGCTTCGTAAGGGTGACCGAAGCGCAGCTGTGCATTTTGGTCTGAAATCTGGCAGCCGTGTGAACAGAGGCCCGAGGCAGACAGCTGTGTTGGGAGGGGAGGCAGAAGCCTGGGCAACGGTTACGGGCTCCTTGGGACAGTTGACTGGAGAGAGGGGTGTTCTGATTGACAAATCTGGGCTGCTGGAGGCAGGTAGGAGGAGGATGAGCTGTGCACAAGCTGATGCAGCACCTGGGCCCAGAGTGGGCGTGGGGAGCTCCCCCGAACCACAGAGGGCACCTGGCGGAGCTC